TTAGAAAAGGTCCTGTAGAAAATCTATTTCTGGGCTTGACACCCAAAGCCACGAAGCAAAAGTTCAGTTAGGAGGACAGGAATAAATGCAATCTTCTGAAACAGGCAACCGTGCAGTTGCAAGCAACTGCTTCATCCTTCCTTTGGACTAGAGTATTACTTTGGGAAGGAGGGGGCAGTAATACTGGGCCCCCTACATAGAGGGGATTAATCTCAAATGAAGCTTAGTATTTAAAAGAACTTGGGGAAAAATCAAAAAATTAATTTAAGGAAGTAAATGTATTTGAATGATTATTCCAGTATTTTCATTTCTCCAACGTAGTCCATTTTTGACAAAAAAGGAAGAATTATATTTACATCTAAGGAAAGCCTGTAAAGCGGGTGGAGGCCAAGAGAACATTAGTGGACATTAGTTGCTAGTTATAATTCTGCTATTTTGACAATTGTAGATAATTATTTTCCCAAAATCTCTTGAATTTCCCTTCTCCAGAGAAGAGAAAGCTCCTCCTCCTCTTCCTCTTCCTCCTCCTCCTCCTCCTCCTCCTCCTCCTCCTCCTCCTCCTCCTCCTCCTCCTCTTCTTCTTCTTCTTCTTCTTCTTCTTCTTCTTCTTCTTCTTCTTCTTCTTCTTCTTCTTCTTCTTCTTCTTCTTCTTCTTCTTCTTCTTCTTCTTCTTCTTCTTCTTCTTCTTCTTCTTCTTCTCTTCTTCTTCTTCTTCTTCTTCTTCTTCTTCTTCTTCTCTTCTCCTCTTCCTCCTCTTCTTCCTCTTCCTCTTCTCTTCCTCTTCCTCTTTCTTCTTCTTCTTCTTCTCTTCTTCTCCTTCTTCTTCTTCTCTTCTTCTTCTCTCCTCTCTCCTCCTCCTCCTCCTCCTCCTCCTCCTCCTCCTCCTCCTCCTCCTCCTCCCTAAATCCTATTGGGGAGGGAGGAGTGTAGATTTCCCGTAGCAATCTTGAAATTTAATGGAAGTGTCAAAAGTCAGGAGGCTGTTGAACCGATATGGTAGCTCTAAGCCAACCTTCAAAAGAAGCAACCTGTTTCCCTCAAGATTTTGTGAAGGGAGAGACAATACAAAGGTAAATGAAAGAGACCACAATGGAGTTAAATAGAGGGAATTCAAGAAATAACGTTTAAAGATATAGAAATCATTTGCTTTTCAATGACCACATGGAGGCGCGCTTGGGTAAAAATTATTTCCATGATGAATTGGCCACCAGAGGGAGTTTTCAAGAAAGCTTCTCTTTGTTTCAAAAAAGTGGACTATCTCAAATGTAGAAAGGCTGCAAACTAGAAAGAACCAATCAGGCGCTGTTCTCCCTCTATCTGCTCAATAAACAAGGACGTAAGCTACTATTTTGATAATACAAATAAACATCCCTGAAGCTCAGGACTGGAAAAAAATGATAAACCATTCTGGGAGACTGGTTGAGAGTATTTTCACACCACCAGTTCTCGTTCTCTCTCTCTCTCTCTCTCTCTCTCTCTCTCTCTCTCTCTCTCTCTCTCTCTCTCTCTCTCTCTCTCTCTCTCTCTCTCTCTCTCTCTGTCTGTCTCTGTCTCTCTGTCTCTCTCTGTCTCTGTCTCTGTCTCTCTCTCCTTTCTCATTCTTTCTCCTCTCTCCTCTCTCACTCTTTCTTCTCACTCTTCTCTCTCTCTCCTCTCTCTTGCTCACTCTCTCATTCTTTCTCTTCTTTCTATTTCTCTCTCACTCACTTTTCTTCTTTCTCACTATTTCTTCTCTCTCTCTCTCACACACTCTTTCTTCTCACTCTTTTCTCTCTCTCTCTCCTCATTCAGAGGCAACTTGAAGGCAATTTGCAATAGAGGTGCTGAGACCAAAGAACAGCAGTCTTCCCCCTCACCCTATGATGCTGCCAAACAGTTGTAGGGGGAAAAAAATCTCACCTCCAGCATGCACAGAAATGAGAGAAAGAACATAGTAAAAAGGGGGCATATCTGGGACTTTCCATGCCATTGGTTCCAGTTTTAAAAAAACAAACATTTGTCAATTTCAATCCCCTTTGTTTGGTCTGGGCTACTGAGGGGAAGCCACAAAGCTGTCAAGCTATCATTCCACTTCAAGGATCAGTAGTTCAGGAAAGAGGAAAAAGACGGAGAAGAGGCCAGATAGTACAACCCCTCAAAAAACAAAAAAAAGCTCACCTTTCTAACTTGAGAAAAGTTTCCTGTACAGTCAGAAATCCATTAGACCAATTTTCCAACTTTGCTAATAACAGCACAAGTTTATAATGTCTGTCTGGGTGGCGCCTGTCCTAGGCCTGTTGGATGTAGGGGGAAACTTTTCTATTGCTAGGTGGAAGAACTGCGGACAATGGGAAGATCTGCTCAAAGCTATGCAGTGGTTCTATAGCAAGAAGAAGGCATAGAATTGAGTCTAAGATGGAATAAATAGGAAGAAGAAATCAAGAGCTGGAGGCCATAGAGAGGCATCCATGAACCTACACTATTTTGGATAAATGGCTGTCCAGTCTCGTCTTAAAAACTTCCAGTGCTGGAGCATTCACCGCTTCTGGAGGCAGGCTGTTCCACTGGTTAATTGTTCTAACTGTCAGGAAGTTTCTCCTTAGTTCTAGGTTGCTTCTCTCCTTGATGAGTTTCCATCGGTTGCTTTTTGTCCTGCCTTCAGCTGCTTTGGAGAATAGCTTGACTGCCTCTTCTTTGGGGCAGCCCCTGAGATATTGGAACACTGCTATCATGTCCCCCCTCGTCCTTCTCTTATTAAACTAGACATACTTAATTCCAACAACCCTTCCTTATATGTTTTAGCCTCCAGTCCTCTGATCATCTTTGTTGCTCTTCTCTGTACTCTTTCTAGAGTCTCAGCATCTTTTTTACATCGTGGGGACCAAAACTGGATGCAGTATTCCAAATGTGGCCTTACCAAGGCCTTGTAAAGGTGACTTGCTCCTTATCACTTTTTAGGATTTTAAACTTGGATTTATCTCCAATTTTTCTGAATGAAATTCAGACTTTCAGCTTTACGCTCTGAGTTACAAGGCCTTTTCCTGAATGTAATTTTGCTTTTGGTCACAAGTAGAGATGGGAAGGCCTGAAAAAAAAAATCTGTAAAAATTGGGGGGAAAAAACAGGTTTTTTCCCCCCATTTTTTCCCAACTGGCTTTGAGGGGAAAAAAAGGCGGGGAGGAAAAAAACCCAATTTTTTCAGGCTTTTTCCAAGCCTTCCCATCTCTAGTTACAAATACTTCTGTATCTTTTCGAGTAGCATCACGAATGCAATTAAGTAGCGTCCAGGAAGAAAAAAAAAAGCTTGCAAAAATAAGAAGCCCAACCCGGGTGTTTTCCCATCCAGTTGGCATTCCATCTGACATCAAGCCTGCCAGAAATGTTCAAAGCAGTTAAAGAGGACAAGATAGGTCTAATATTTCCTTTCCTATTCTCTCCTTTCTTCATGTGAAGAAGCATTAAGAACAGCCTTTATATTTCAAAATCCCACAATGGTCAGGATGTTCCTTGCCAGAACTGAGACAGCAGTGGAAAACAATTCCACAGCCCATAAAGATTAGACTACAAACCCCACAGGGTCTTGCTGGGGTACTATAAGGGTGAGCGGAAGCCTCCCAAAATGTGCATTGCTTCAAGCATATTCCTTTTATCAGCTGCTGTACAGTAGCTGTGAGTTGCGGGAACTTTCTACCCTATGTTAAGGACTAGGGTGGAATTTGCAAGTTTACGACTGTGAATTGATCTCCTCCCTTTGTTCTTAGTAATTTCCAATCTTATAACTTCCCTTCAAGGACAGGGGTGTTAAAGACTTACAGACTGTACATATCTTTATACATTTACACATGGAAAAAAACCCAGTAAAGTTTATCTGTATGCATCAAATAAAATCTCTGTATGAATTCTTCACTTTAATCAAGGAAAGAACCATTTAGTTCATTATTTTTCACATTATAGTTCAGCACAGTCTTTAGCTGAACAGGACACTTTAAGGGACACATCTCTTGAAGTTTATTCTATCAACTATCTCCTTCCTTCCTTCCTTCCTTCCTTCCTTCCTTCCTTCCTTCCTTCCTTCCTTCCTTCCTTCCTTCCTTCCTTCCATTATCTATCTATCTATCTATCTATCTATCTATCTATCTATCTATCTATCTATCTATCTATCTATCTATCTATCTATCTATCTCCATCTCTGTCATCTATGATCTATTATCTCCATCCATCCATTGTATAAATATGAAAGCTATGCAAAAATACCAATAGGAAACTTTTTTTTTTTAAAAAAAAAAACAGCTTTATAAATGCCCTGCTTATTTTCCATCAACAGCTATACATTCCAGGAAGTGTTTGTGACAATGTATTTGGCATCATGAAACTTTTATTGCTATTGTGTTAGTTCTTCTTTTTAAAATTACACAGCCAGATTATAAGGTACCATTTGATAACCCTTTGGGAAAAATTTAACATACTGTGCTTACAAGTGGAATCAGCATATTGAAGATTCTAATTTTGACTGCTGTAAAGACAAATTTTCTTCCCCATCTCAGTTGGATCCCCAAACCCTCTTATTTCCCCCCCCCCTTGTCAGGTGTATTCATTTATGGACTATAACAGATCATGGCAGATCTTCAAAGAAATTTCCTGCAATTTAAGATTTTGAGAGCATTTTAGAGTCCATAAAGCATCTAATGCTAGTTCTCTCTTAGGCTTTGCCCTACTCAACATTTTTTTCTTCTTTTGCATATTTTTGGATTCATTCTAAAATTTAGGTGATAAATATCAATTAAATTAATTGAAAAGGGAACCAAGATGATATTTTGATTACCTGGAATAACATGACTATACTGTAGACCTAGGTGGTTCAATTAAGCATTTATTTTCTTCCAGAGAAGTTTGAAAACAGAACTTGGATAGGGTTCAGAATACAAATTTGAGCCCTCTTCTCCAGGATCATAACCAGATTTCTTTGGGGGGTGGGTACCTGTGTCAGTTAATCAGTATAGAACCAATATAGGTTTGTAATAGCTCTTTATTCCAAATTTCTGAATATAACCATTAGTTCATTTCCAAATGGTGTCCTTAGTTTTCCAACATACACATTGCATGTGTTTCTTTTTTTTAAGTTTATTTTTTTAGCAAAACAAAAAAAATAATAACAAAACAAAGCTGCAACCCAAATGTACAGATTAAAAAGATGTACAAAGAATTTTTTTTTTAAAAAATGGATTCAATAGTAAAAGAAACAACAACCACAAAACAGCTTTTGTGACCGAGGTCAACTCGTTTTAGTTTTCATTAATACTGTGAGATATTAGGTTAAAAACATAACTTTGCATAATTTATACAGTAAGTTGCCCTCTGACGTTGTTGACCTATTCGGTAGTGGACTGACAAACGCACAGCGTTCGTGAATCGGTAATGTTTATTTGCAATTCCCCAAACTTTGTTGAAGCTGGTGGAGTTGCTGTCATTTTATATTAGTTCCATTTTGCATTCTTAAGAATATCTGTCCTCAATGCATTATAACTTCCTGTTTTCTTTTTTTTTTCCTGGTGCCGTATGCTTCCAGCGTTATTAACAAAATCATGTAACTTAATCCACAGTCCTTTCAATGCCCATAGTTGCTTTAAAATATACATATTTATTTATATTTCATTCTCTTTTTTTCCAGTTGAGTGAAAAAAAACAAACAACCCAAGCCTTCATTGAGCTTAAAGCGAAAATTCCAGTTGATATCTGCAAACCAGGTCCTCAAAATTTGTGAATTTTCTTCAGCACATCTCAAAACTGGGGAAAAAAAACCCACACCCCACCATGATTTCCCATTAGTTTGGAACAAACATTCCTGTTCTAAGATTCAGAGGTTCTGATCTTTCTTTTTTTCCCAAAAAGCTTTTGACTTGACAATGCTTTGTCTACAGTCTTGAGTGATAACCACTGCACAAATGTAATGTAAAGCTGGTCCTATAAATGAGAAAAGCCTTTGAACCAAAACGAAAGGCAGTATACTGGCCCACTGGAGAACTCATTTGCCCTTCTGAGACAGAAAAAGCAGAGTTAGAAAAATAAAAGGTTTATTCCAATAAAAATTACAATAAAAATAACAATATTAATATCCAGGTGGTTTTTTTTAAAGCTTTCTCCCCAACAGTATAAAAAAAAAAAGTCCAGAGATTTTCAGGAATGGAAGAAAACAACCAATCAAAATGAGAAAGTTCACCGAAGACAGAAAGTGTTTAGTAGTAGCTGCCTAGATGGGAAGGCATGTGAGAATTAGCGTGGCGTGGTACGTTGGGATTTGGATAAATACTTCCAGTAGGAGAAGTCCAGTATGGTGACGCCGCGCCAAAGAAACTAGAGGAAGTGACCGGCATAGAGGATGGATGGGGAGGGACGAAGTTCATTTTTTGCTGGTGTGCGTGGTACGAAGGCATGTAAGAGAGATCCGAAGGATATTTATACATTGATGATTCAGTAGGGTGAGGCTGAAGTGCTTGAGCGATGCCGTGAAAGTCAAATTTGTAAGCGTATCGCTTGCCGTGCACTTTGGTCATAATGTTCTTGTCATAGTAATATCGGAGGGCTCGACTCAACTTGTCGTAATTCATGTTGGGTTTGCTTTTCCGTTCTCCCCAACGCCTGGCCACTTCATCAGGGTCAGTCATCTTGAATTCCCCATTGGTGCCTTCCCATGTGATACAGCTAGCGTTGGAACTGTCTGACAGCAGTTCAAGGAGGAATTGCCACAGTTGAATCTGTCCACTCCCTATGAGAGGAGAGAGAGAGAGAGAGAGAGAGAGAGAGAGAAAGGGAGAGAGAATCAACTATATCCTTCTCTTCTTGCTGTTCACAGATCAGTCAAAAAGTTATGTCTGGCTGGTGAGTGTTAGAGACATAGCCTTCTCAGTGGTGGCTCCAGAGCTCAGTAAAAAGAAGTAAATGTTAAAAAAGAATTTTAACAATCTTTGCTTTTCAGTTTCTGTTTCACTTATGATGTTGCTATAGCTTATAACAGCCTTTTTAAAGTAAATGATAATGCATTTCACTATTGCAAGAATTATTACACATTTAGTGACCTTATACCAAAAGTGAGATAGATGAATTATCTGGTTTGATTCAGGTGGACTTACCTGGATTGGCTAAACGGCTACTGGTGGGCCCTAAGATCTGATATGGATCTAAATTGAGAAAAGGACAGAGGTTAGATGTTGGTGAATATACAGCACAGAGACTAGCCATAAATGCATTTCTAGCTTGAATATAGGGTTACTCCCATTTTCTATATCAGAGTTTGTGCTATTATTCCTCAAGCAGAATGGAGATGGTAGAGAATGGATCTCAACTTTTCTGTACTAGGAATGTGAGAATTTGCTACCCAGACCTTGAGATCTAAAGGATGGTGCTTATAACGGTAGAGTGGTTAGTTTATACTTTTAAATATTCTCAAACTTAGCAAATGAGATAACCTGTATAGATCTATGAAGGACCATGAACTCCCTTTGTGAGAATGACCAATCTCAGGAAATGTTTGGTTATAGTTTTTGCAGCTAAAGCTAGTTTTACCAGGTAGTCCTTGAACTGAACTAAAGTGAAATTCTACTAGAAAGAATTGGTAACTGCTCTATTCAGATAATGGCCACAAAGCAATGTGCTCTCCCCCCCCCCCAAATCAGTAAAATTATGTACATTCCAGCACTCTTACCTGGTTGGGGTCTCTGTTGTTCTCCGTTTTTGCTTACATTTTGTGTCCCACCTAGAGGAGGACCTAGCAAAGCAAAGAAGAAAGATGAGGTTAGGAAAAAGAAGGAGCGGGGTACAGTAGAGACCAAAACAATACATATGTCCTTTAAATTCAACAATATGTATTCCTTCATTCTAAAAAGATGAGAAGTTCACTTGAACTCTTACTGCTTTCTCACAACCTCTATTTTCCAATACACACACATACTCACATTATCCTTCAATTGCCATAGAACAGACATGTCAAACTCTCGACATCACGTGATGTCGCACAATGTATCGGGACGGTTTTCCCATTGCCGGCAATGATGCGTCCGGCCCGCGGGCCAACAGTTTAATACCCCTGGCATAGAATATGAAACTGGAATCTTTCCAATGTCCAAATTGTAGCAGCAAAAAGTGTGTATGTGTCTGTGTCTGTTTGTCTATGTGAATGTGTATATGTGAATAGCAATAGCATTAGCAGTAGCACTTAGATTTATATACCGCTTCATAGTGCTTTACAACACTCTCTGAGTGGTTTACATAGTCAGCATCTTGTCCCCAGCAATCTGGGTCCTCATTTTACCAACCTTGGAAGGATGGAAGGTTGTGTCAACCTTGAGCCAATCAGGATCGAACTCCTGGCAGTGGGCAGAGTCAGCCTGCAATATTGCATTCTAACCACTGTGCCACCACAGGTCCATGTTGGAGAGTGGAAGGTAAACCCTCAAAGCATCATGTCATACTGTTAGCAAAGTCTATAATTCTCAAGGTCACTTAGATGATCCCAACCCCTGATGTTGAGAAAAAGTGACAGAAACACTGCAACAACTATGGCAAGCTGAGATGGCAGGACTCTCTTTATAAATCTCTAGTGAACTTTTCCATTCTTGACACAAGTCACAAAACATCCAGAAAAAAAATGAAGTGTCAACGGAAAGATCTCTATTGCCATTTGATTTTTCCATCAAGACCTGTGTAGACCAGTGTTTCTCTTCCTTGGCAGCTTTAAGATGTGTGAACTTCAACTTCCACCATTCCATGCTGGCTGAGGAATTCTGGGACTTGAAGTCCATAAAATTGTTGTGGTTGAGAAACCCTTGTGCAGAAGATTAAATTAGTGTGGGGCAATAGAATGAGAACACAATCATTGATACCAACTTCATAACGTTTTAAATTTCAGAACATAACTTCTCCTGAAAACCATCTATTAACCTATCAAGGCAAAAAATGTACCACAGTGACTCACTTTTATTGTGGCTGGAATTAAGATTATTACCCCATCCTGATCTTCGAACAGCATCATAGGAGTTATCTAATCATAACCAAAAGCAACAAAAGAGAATAATGGTTAATTGCAAATCATAACATTTGATGCTTAACAATAACTGAGAACAACCTACAGGCCAAATGCTATATTTTTGTTAGAAAATCTATAGCAATCTATTTCATATGCCGTTGTTGCCTAGAATTCTGGGATTTGGTGTTGGAGGCATCAAATTGAGGAAAACTGTCATATAGAATGAGGTAACTTAAATACTCACAGTGGATTTGGGAATCTAGTACAAATGTGACACAAACTAGAAGATAAACTAGAAGACAAGAAGCAGTGGGTGGAAACTGATCAAGGAGAGATCCAACTTAGAACTAAAGAGGAATTTCCTGACAGAACAATTAATCAGTGGAACAACTTGCCTCCAGCAATTGTGGGTGCTCCGACACTGGAGGTTTTTAAGAAGAGACTGGACAGCCATTTGTCTGAAATGGTATAGGGTTTCCTGCCTGAGCAGGGGATTGGACTTGACCTCCAAAGACTCTTCCAACTCTCTATTCTGTTTTATTCTGTTAACTACTGGCAGTAGATGATAGTGAATAAGCTGATGGAGAATATTATTACAACTTTTCAAAATCATGGAGACAATGCCAAGTATGATGGTAAGATGACAGATCTTTTTTTTTTAAAAAAAAACAAACGTGTCCCAGCAGTTGATGCTAGCAACAGAAGTACAAGGCAGCCATTGTCCTTATGGCTTGCCTGGAGGGTTGTCTTTCTTATTTATTTATATTATACACAGCTACCCAATTCAAACAATATGACTTTTGGCAACATGCAAGAAAGACCATGCATAACAAATGCAACCTAAACAGTACAACAGAGCTTAAAAACCAACTAAAAGAGAGCTCAACCAGATTCAGCTCTACTGCAAGTCATTTGATTGGGAGTCCTTTCAACCTGACTTAAAGGATTAGGGAAAGAATCAACTTTTGACTGCTTTTCTAAAGGCCCTTCCTAGGAGTGCATAACTGGTGTTTTTTGAGAATGTTCTAGATTGACATGTGGTTTGATCCATGAAGATTCTCCTCCTGCTGTGATTACCTACATGCAAACCCAATGGTTTTTGAGTACCTCCAAACTAACAATTGAATACACAATTAAATCCAAACACAAATGGTCTCTCTCTCTCTCTCTCTCTCTCTCTCTCTCTCTCTCTCTCTCTCTCTCTCTCTCTCACACACACACACACACACACACACACACACACACACACACACAATTTGTCCATTAAAATCATCATTTTTATCCCCAGATCAGCATTTCTCAACCTTAGCAACTTTAAGAATATGTGGACTTCAATTCCCAGAATTCTGGAAATTGAAGTCCATGTATCATAAACTTGTCACGGTTGTCACATTGCTCTAGACCAGTGGTTTTCAACCTGTGGGTCAGGACCCCATTTGGGGTCGAACGACCATTTCACGGGGGTCACCAAACAAGGCTGTCCACCATTTCCCCCCCTTTTCTTTAGCCACGCCCCTGGCACCCGATGATGTATAAGTGGTTGGGGGGTCACCACAACATGGGGAACTGTATTATGGGGTTGCGGCATTAGAAAGGTTGAGAACCACTGCTCTAGACAGCAGATCCGAAGTGTCTTCCTCTGAAATCAGTAGCTATTCTGGCATTTATTTTTTATATTACAGAAGAAAAGTCCCAAAGAAAATAGGTGAACTAACAGTTTGCTCAGTAGGAAACTTTAAAAAAAAAAAGTCAATGTTTTCCATAAGCAGACAGCTTAAAGATAGCATTGCATGTGCTGTTTAAGATTAAGCCTCCTCCAGAAATATTTGGAGGTTTGGAAGAAAGTCATTTCAATCTCACAAATGGATTGAAGCCAAACGATTCTATTGTCTTCCCTTTGGGAAAATGACAGAAAATCTTCAGGAAATCACATGTGTATTTGTGAAATTCCATTTGGCTCTGGAAAAAAAAAACATGTTGTTTTTCCGCTATTAAAAGTTAAACAAAATACAGAGTAAAATCTTGGATGAAATGCCCAGATAAAAAAAGGAGTTCATTTTCTCAATGCACATACTGAGTTTTTTCTTATTATTTTTATTTGTTAAAAGTTTCCTTTCCTTGGAATTTGAAGAAAAGACATAAAATCTCTACTACAACGAGTTGAGAATTGGTGGCATTATTGTAAATATGTAAATGATACCTTTGTAAAATCTGAGAAGTTATGTAATATTTGAAGTATAAAGTTGAAGAAAAGAAACCAAGGCACTGGCTGATATTAGCAATAATGTAAGAATAGATGATAGATCTCCAGAATTTCCAAGCCAATGTGATTAGCTGAGGAATTTTGAGAGTTGAAATCCAGGCATCTTAAAATTGTCACAATTGAGAAACCATGGAATGGATGGGTGGATGGATGGATGGATAGATAGATAGATAGATAGATAGATAGATAGATAGATAGATAGACAGATAATGACAGATAGACAGACAGACAGAAGTTTTGCAAGGACACATCTAATCCAGCCTTAGTGAGACACAGTGGCCAACCATACAGTATGCACATAGGATATTGACAAGCATGGATAGACAGGTTATTGCTTGCTCCCTCGTGTGTGACATTTAAAATCTGTTGCCTATAATTCCAGAAATAACCATTAGCCATGAAGCTTAGTAGCCATTGACAGCCTGAAGCTCCTTTGAAAACCATCTAAACTGCTGCCATATCCATGAGAGAATCCACTGGAATTCACAACAGGCGTGATTTCTATCATTTCTCCTATGGAAACTATGGAATGCAACATGATTATTCACATTGCTCCCCGAGTGAGCAAGAAACAACACCTATATTTGTATATCCAAATGAAATTAAAGAGGTTTCGGTGAATGGAAAGGGTACACTACTCTGCCTAAAATACAGTTCAGATTGATGATGGTGGCCTGCTGTATGGAGTTGTGCTTCAGATTAGGATTTTTTTAAAAAGGACATCTGGAAAATGCGTTTTGCTGGAGCATCTTTTCAAAAACATCAACAATAGCTGCTCAGATGAGCCAAGAATTTGCTTCCTTGCTATCTCCCCTCCACTGCAAATGAATGCAATGTGTACAGCAGTACTACCGAAAACCTCCCATCCTCATTCTTGCACAATTGCACTTGAAACACAATGAGAAAATTTGAGCCAAGGAAACCATCCAGAGACTTGGCATTCATTTAAGTTGCTTTATTTGCAGGGAAAAAAAAAAAAAAAGGTTGTGCTCATGACTTGGTCCTCAGCAGTTCCAAGAGAGCTTTCCGTCTTCCTAGTCTACCCTAGGAAGGGAGACAAAGCTATCAGACACCTTAATTTCAACCCGCCTTGCAAAATGTTGCTTTAAGCTATGAGATCTTTACTACAAGTCACAAGGAAAAAAATATTTGCTCTTGAATGGCAGTTAATATTATTCCATCTGAACAGAATAACAGAGTTGGAAGGGACCTTAGAGGTCTTCTAGTCCAACCTCCTGCTCAGGCAGGAAACCCTATACCATTCCAGACAAGGAGCTGTCCAGTCTTCTCTTAAAAGCCCCCAGAGATGGTGCACTCACAATTTCTGCAGGCAAGGAGCTCTACTGGTTAATTGTTCTCATTGTTAGGAAATTTCTCTTTAGTTCTAGGTTGCTTCTCTCTTTGTTTAGTTTCCACGCATCGTTTCTTGTCTTGCCTTCTGGTGCTTTGAAAAATAGGTTGACTCTCTCTCAAATATTGGAACACTGCTGTCATGTCACCCCTGGTCCTTCTATTCACTATACTAGCCATACCCAGTTCTTGCAACTGTTCTTCGTATGTTTTAGCCTCCAGCCCCTTAATCATCTTTGTTGCTCTTCTCTGCACTTTTTCTGGAGTCTCAACATCTTTCTGATATTGTGGTGACCAAAACTGGATGCAGTATTCCAAGTGTGGTCTTACTAAGGCTTCAGCAGAAATTGGAATCTTTGTGGCAGCTCCTGTGATAATTGTGTTTTTAGCTATTACCTTCTGGGAGGAGGCTTTGTGGTATCTGGAGCAGAATAACTAGATTCTGTAATAGTTTTGTACCAACCTTGTTAACTCTCAAGACTCTTTTTTCCTCTATGTATTAAAAATGGACTGTGATTTTATAGAATATCTTTATTGTCATTGTGTAACTCACAATGAAATTAAGTGTTAATTAAATTAAATTAATATATATGTCTCTCTGTGTGTATACAGTATATATATATATATATATATATATATATATATATATATATATATATGTCTTTGGTTGTTCGGGTTTTCTCCCGCGTAAAATTGAAAGTGTCTTGGCGACGTTTCGACGAAGTCCCATTCGTCATCTTCAGGCTGGTGTTTTCAGCTTCGTGCTTTGAGCAGCAATACACACACACACACACACACACACACATATACATATATATACATATACACACACACACAGATTGTTTTAGATTGCTAACAAAGAATAAAGGGAGAACTGGAATAGCTATTTCAAGCTTCTTAACTCTCTTCAGCCAGACATACCCTTCTGAGATTCGAACCTGGGCTGTGTGCATATTAGGCAGCTGTATTAACCTCTAGGCCACAGGCTCTTTCTCACTTTGTCAGCTGTATCAGGGAGGGAATGTATATACATATACATTCAGTATATATTTTCTTTTGAGAGCGGGCATCAGAATTTCATTTTAATGGGTGCCAGTGCGTACCCAGAAAAGTGACAATAAAAGTTATCTATTTTATCTTAGTTCCCCAAAGATTGCCCACTAACTACTGTTGGCCATCACGATTTAGGCCTGCAAATCAGTGGCAGGATTCAGCCGGTTACACTTTGGCAGAACCGGTAGCTAATTTTTTCTTGCCCAGGCCCAGAATGGACTTCCGGAAGCGGCATCCACACAGAGAACCGGTGGTTCACATATCTGAATCCCACCACTGCTGCAAATGTATGATATTGACAGACTCCTGCACAAGACCCTTGGAGCTGTAGGCAGGCATGGCTGTAACG